TGTCGCGACCATAATGCTTATCGTTGAAGTTCGCTCCTTGTATACGTGTATGTGTATCATTTGATCGTTTGTGTGGATGTATGCTAATTAAATCATAATACGTTAAAAATGGTGAAACGTTCTTTATCTTTACCATTATTCTTGTTGTGGAAATTTGTTGCTTGTATACGTGGATCTTCATCATTTTCTCATCTACGAAGACGTATGCAGATGGAACTATAATTCGCTAATGTGCTTTGTCTTGACCAGTCATGCTTTTTATAGAAGTTTGTTGTGTGTGTACGTGGATTTAAATCATTTGGCCGTATCATGTTTGGTCATTTGCACATTATACGGGTGTATTTTGTTTGGCGACTTACATGTTCTATTATGTGTATATAAATACATTGAAGGAGCATAATTTGGCATGTTAGTATAATTACAAATGTGCATCTAGATTTTTTGCCAATTGAATTGTTTGACATTAAGTTATTTTAACTGTATAAAGAAGGTATTACATAAGGAAAGAAGAATCGAGGATATCCAGAGCAGGGAACATCCAACCAACTAAGAGATGAAATGCAATAAGGATTTCAACACTAGGGATTGTAAGAGTGTGGCTGATGTCAATTGTGTTTCAACCCCTTCTCGTTCTATAAGACGTCATTTGGACACAATGTAGTGCTTGCCAAATGAAGTTTGAATACTTAATCTTTTGGGAAAAGAACACAAGTGCCACAACTTTCATATGACACTCATTTGAGGTCCATAACTAATTTTTCGATCATTTTTTTCGTCGAATTTTCTATCACTTGAATGCCAAGACTTATATACGGCACTCTTGAGTGCTATAACTTTTTTTTTCCAATCACTTTAATGCCTTATAACTTTTTATTTGATCACTTGAATGTCACAACTTTTAAAAAATATTCACCACAAGTGTAATGCCACGTCAGATTTTCGACACTTGGGTGAACGATTTTAAAAAGTTTTGGTACTTAAGTGATCGATAGAAAGTTATGGCACTAAAATAAATGTTTTCCAGAAGTTATAATACTTAAGTGGTCGGAAAAAAAAGTTAAGGCACTCAATTGAGTGCCGCATGAAAGTCATGACATTTATTGTGTCTTTATCCCCGTTCCAATCAGAAGACCAATTCCTATACAGTGCCCAAACATCTCCCTTCGAGGATGAATCTGAATCAAGCCCCTTGCATTCGTCCACTTCATTCTATGCAAGAAAGCATTAAGAAAGTTAAAGACAACAGATTTTCCTATCTGCAAATACCATAGTTCTGGGCAAAGCCAGATTCAACCCAAGGCATAAGGCCCAGTTCTTGGTCACTTTTGGAACTAAGCTAACTGATGCGCACACTGAATTGTCTCAATGGTATGACATCATGGATCGGAGCATAGTAACAGGGCATCCCATCATCATCATCATCACTGTAAGCAGCCTAGAATTGATTATCAGTAAACGAAACCTCTGTCCGATCATTGTCAAAATAATGAAAATCTGGGTCTGCAACGAGCATTTGCTTGGGGACAAAGTTCTCCAATTCATATTCAACATTAGAAATGGCATGGACAATCTATTTGATTGGAACTCTGTCTTTATCGTCATAGGCTTCTTATGCTGAATTGCAGCAGTCTTTGCACCATTTGCAGGTGCTTTCTGCTCTTCACCGTACTTCTCCTTGACCTTTTCTTGTGAACAATTAGTCCATCTGCAGGTTCTTTCTCACTACTCCACTCATCAAGCTTCTTAAAAATTTCCTTCTTTTCTTGTCTATCAACTTCTTACGTGTTTCTGTCGGAGATAGATCCCTCAGACTGTTGAACTAATTAATAGCCCTTCTCCAATCCTCCAGTCGGCCCTTTTGAGATCCAGATGCATTTCCTGCACCAACTCCTGTACTGTTTGCAAATGGGGCTTGGCTAGCATCCTTTACAACTTATTCATGCCACCTTCATCAACCTGCCTTTTTTAATCCCTTCAGTTTCTAGGGAATTGACATCAGAATACATGCCCACTGAACCACTACGAGCTTTCTTAGACATATGAATTATCTCCAAGCGCTCCTCTCTGACTGCAGCTACTGCCTCTTCACGGCCCCTCTTCCCATGGCAAACTAAAGGCACAATCATGCCTGAGAGAGGAGAATACGATACAGGTGCAGGGGCACCTTTATCACTCGTAAATGTGGTTAATGTGCCATATGAAGAAGTGAGCTCTTGCAGCTACTAAATACTAGAAAAGCTTGTTGAACCTGCATTGATGGCATTAGTCTACCCTTCTACTTATGCGTACTTATTGCTTCTCATTCTATTAGGATACAATTGTGCTTCAGAGAAAGCCTTTGAATTAGATGAACTATTGCCATCTACTAGTAGAGGTGGAATCTCAATAGCAAATAGGGTTTAAGTAGCTGGGACCACGGAAACAAAGTCGCTTGTTTAAGTAGCAGATTAAGTATTCAACCTTCGTTTGGCAAGCACTGTATTATGTCTGAAATGACATCTTGATAGGACAAAGAGGTGCTAGAGCACATTTGACATCAGCCGTTGTCTTTCAATCCTTAGTGTTGAAATCCTTATTACATTCCATCTCTTAGGGGTTTGGTTGATCCCTGCTCTAGATTTAACCAAATCTTCTTTGCATATGCAATACCTCCTCTATACGGTCAAAATAACTACTGTCAAAACAATACAATTGGCAAAAATCCAGATACACAACCCACTATGTTACATTGATTGTCAAGAGGCTAAATATGCCTTAAAATAAGAGAAAATTGGTAGAAAATATACTTTAGCGGAACCCCAAATTTAAACCAAACTATTGGTAAATCATAAGTATGATGGCAAACATTTGTAATTATTCTGACATGCCGGATATGCTCCTTTAACGCATTTATATATACATAAAGAAACATGTCAATCGCCAAACAAAATGCAACAGAATGATGTCCAAATGACCAAACATGATATGATCAAATAATGTCATCCACATGTACATATAACATCTATAAAAAGCATGACGGTCAAGGTATAGCATGACAACCATTATTAACTAATTATATTTCCATCTGCATACGTCCGCATAGACGAGAAAATAGATCCACATACCCAAGTGACAAAGTTCCACAACAAAAGTAACAGTAAGGATAAAGCACGATCAACTATTTTTAACGTTTTTAATGAATTATGGTTCCATCCGCATACATCCAAATAAATGATCAAACATTATACATCTACTCATACAAGCTTAACTGTAAACAACAAGCAATAAACTTCCACAATAAGCATAATGGTCGGGATAAAGCACAATCTGCTATTTTTAATGAATTATGATTATATCCACACAATCCATCAAAGGAGCAACGAACTTCCATAATAAGCATGATCATTGAGATAAAGCATGATCCATAATCCAACGGTTTGCAATTCCATTTCGTCTACCCACGTCCACATAAAAGCACGACGAACTTGCAAAATTATTCATAATAGTTGGGCTAAAGCACAATCAACCATTAAAATAGGTTTACAATTCCATCAACATTACTTCCCGTCCGAAAAGTGCGCAACAGTTGATCATATTGACAGTTTCTCGCCAGGAAAGCAAATCTAACATAATGGATCCCATCGCCACAAGTCACCTCATGAACTATGATTGCGCACGAGGGCATCAAGGAACTCTTCTTTGATGGGTAGGAATTCAAATATAGAAAAACCAATTAACCAAAGCAAAGACCATGACAAAATAAGAAGATAGACGGGATAACAACTATAGGAGTGCCATAACTTTCGTACGATGCTCACTTGAGTGTCATAACTTGTTTTTTTCGCTCACTTAAATGTCACATCGGAGTAAAATCGATCATTTGAGTGCCACTTCCGACAAATTATCTTACATGAATTTTTTGTATTTTTTTGTAGTCCTTTTTTTTTTTTTGTGTGCTGGCCGCAAAGGCATCGCCCTCGGTTGACAAGGCCGCGGAGGCCCCGGGTGAGGCCATCACTAGCTACGAGCATGGGCCTTTGCTCAGGTGTGAAAGCTCTTGCCAGACCTAAGAGAGGCCACCTTGCTTGCGGTCGACCTCGCCCAGGGCCATCACAGCCTCGCCAACCGCACGCAAGGGTACAAAGGCCCTCACCATATCTGGGCAAGGCCAGCGGTAGATTTTCCGATGAGGCAAATTATCAATGGCACTTCAATGATTGATTTTTCAAATTTATGACACTTAAGTGTTTGATTGTTCAAATTTGTGACACTGAATTAAGCGAAAAAAATTACAAAAATTGTCCACTCAATGCTGGCAGTGCCACTTAGGACAACCAGCATCCACATTGGATTTCCTGTCGAGGCAAATCGCCAATGGCACCTTAGTGATCGATTTTTCAAATTTATAGCACTTAAGTGAGTAAAAAAAAAGTTCGACAATGGTTCACTTATATGTCCACCATGCTCCTGTTATTTCTTGTTGCAACTAAGAATTCCACAACAGTGAATTTTATAGCTGTATATTGCCTATGTATATTAAGTGTTGGTATTTTTTTATTGGAATGGATATTCACAAAGTCAAATGAAGTTGTGTTGAATGTCATGTAGATCTCAAGTAAAAGACTCGAGACCGATCTAAAGAGAATTTTAAAAAGAGTGAGAAAGAGCCATTAATATAGTATGATTGACTTCAATATATATATTAGTTCACGAGAACCGTGAGCAACACATGCTTAAAGGCTAGTTAAATAAAGCAACCAAGAAGATGGTTCTACAGTCAAAGAAGTTGATAATGTTTTCAGTCAGGACATGAAGATTGAGAACGCTGAAGATGGAAATTCAGAGAGTCTTCAGTGTCTTCAGGTCCTCGCTCTTTCTTTCTGAGAGATTCTACAATTCAGTTTCTTGTCCAGAATGACAATTGACTAGCAGATTAGCATGCATATACAATGCCGAAACTTAGATATGCATCAACCCTTGTATACATAGACTCGCTGTATTGACAATTGTGTCATGAAGCTTTTGTCTACATTTACAGTAAACCCCATCGTCGCAAACCAAAAATTCATATATAATGGAGAACCATGGTTTCCTTGAGAAGATTTTCTAAAACCATCTCTAGATTTCAGAAATAAGCTCTTCAATTCACAGTGCAGCTGCTTGATTGTCGGAATTAGCGACTGAATAAGAATATATGAACTATACATTCGTGACTACTTTAGTTTCTCTAGAGAGTTCTAATCAAAATGCCAAAGGAATTTGCTTGACTAACAAGAGATAACAATTATAAATGTTCAATCTGTGCAGCTGAAGTTGCCAGCCTAGTCCGACATTTTTTCGGCCATAAGCCTAGTCTGACGTGATAGAGGAAATAAATGCAAATGGGAACCCACCAAGTGCATAATTTCTTGATGAAAATCCCCAGGGAAATCCCAGAAATTCTTCATGGTTGTTCAGTTCTGTGAAAAATTATGTAAAAATTAGATATGATCCAAGGAATCCAGTTACCTTGCCATCTTCGCAAAATGTGAAACTATCTTGTTGAGAGAGAGATTACGCACCCTAATTCTTTATATTATATTCAGCTCAAGAGACACATTGTTCAGTGGTCGTGAATTTCTCTGGCTTTATCACCCCAAACCAGCTTAGTCTGGCTCTCAGATTCATTTGTCGCAAAGGAAAGTTTCTGCAAGAAAATGAACTATTTATTTGAAATTTTGGTAGAAAGCACTGGAAAGATCGAATAGGGAATTCAGACAAACCCGTCTTGCTCTTTTATCAACAGGAGTCCACGAAGGGACGAGCGATGCTGACATTTTTCCATTCTTGAATGAACCAAATGATTGTGCGGATCTCTTCTGCCTCTTCTCTTCAGGTGTTTTTCTGACAGCGCTATCTCCTTGATACTTAAAAAATTCAAAAAATGGACTTCTTCGCCTTGTTGTATTTGATCTAGTCCGTGTATTGCTATAACAAGGAGATGCACTGGATGGAAGAGATTGCTGTCGCAACTTGCTCTTTTCCCGGATTCTGTTCAGAAACTCAATTGTCCAGGGTGAACCTTTTTGCAAGTGGGGCATGTGAATGGCATTTCTAAGTGGTGTTCCATTATACCTTGCCCTGTTCGCCTGTACTGGTATACCTTGTAAGTTCTCCATGGTTCTCCCATCCAAAAACCCCTTAAAGAGTTTCTCCCGATCATCTGTAGGCATTTTGTCATTTACTAGCTCCGTAGATAAGAAGCAATCAGTTTCTTCCTGTAAACTTTGTCTTTGATGATTCCCAGGACTATGAATAAAAGAAGTAGAATCGCTCTCAGCAACTGTTGGGAAAGTTGGATAATTGTGTTGATCGAAGGAAAATCTACTTGCATGAATGGATCGACCCTTGGCATCGTTTTCCAGATCTGGCAATGAAAATGAAAATTCCAAAGGATTGACAGTTGATGGATCGGTGAGCTTGACAGCTTCACCTTTAGTTTCCTCATGAACAATATCAGAGTTCTTGATATTTGTCCAGTCAAAAGTGTCCGTTGTATCTAGGTGTGCTCCTGCGTACCAATAAAGGAAATCATCATCAGATGCTAGGCTTTGATGTTCAGTCACATCAGAGGAGAAAACACCTTTCTTGATCCGAGAATCAAATCGATTGCCGACTCTAGCAGGATATGTGGTAATTGACTCATCCATCCCTCCTTTTTGACCTAGGAAATGATCAAGACACGAATTGGGCTCTTTAAACTTATTGGGTATCTCCTGATCTTTGAATATTGACGAATCATATCGATTCATAAACCCAGGAAGTTTTGAGGAACTGTTGTTACATAGTTTTGAAGGCTGAAAATGCAGTTGGTCGTCCACAGGTACATCACCTTTGTCAGGGTGCTTCTTGTACTTACATTTTTTCCCTCCAGAATCCAGCTTACTATGGCAGTGTTTAGAGTCAGGGCCTGAAGACACTGAAGAAGAGCAGTCTGTCATTATAGACCGAGAATCCTCACGTTCCCCAAATTGGCATAAAGCACTAAATAGGGAAACACTTTCATCAGGAACTTGATATTTTTGGACCGTGGAGATTCTGCATTCATGAGATGATTCAAAAAAGTTGCTGAGCATGCCTTCAGTAGACAGTATTGCATGAGCTGATAGTGGATTAACAGAAGGAAATTTAATCAGGAAAGATTCTGCAAGTGTCTCTGATTCAGGAAGTTTAGTATAAAGACCCCTAATAGTCCTAGTTTCCTTAGCAATAGATTTCAGTATGATCTCATCGGTCAACACAGGTGAAAAGGAGCAAAAGAGTTGCAAATCAATTCCCAGACTAGCTGCCGCGGCATAAAGTCCATCTGATGATTCCATTACTGAAGCAAGGAAGTCAGATTCTCCCTCAAATATCTGGTAGAGATAATCGAGCATAAGATAATGAGAAAAGTATAAAATCACAGGCCTGCACCAACTTCCTCTTGTAAGGAATGATATAAGTTGTATGCTTCTGCCAACTTGGCTAAGCAAACATGACAAAAGAAGAACACTAACAGTATGAAAAGGGAGAAGCCCAATGCAAAAACCCATTGAGAGTAACAAATTTACAGTTGCTTTATGCATCTCTATTGGCTTCATAACAATATGCACAGGGCACAGTAAATAATAGCAAATAATCATCACACCGTCTGCTTGCATGCAGAAACAATTTAAGTTCATCTTCAACATGACACAGAAAATCTCAAATAAAAGGATGAGATGGAGCTGAAACAGCAGTAGTTGCTAGAATATAAATGTAATTACTGCAGATGTTTCTTTGCAACTGCTAGACTTTTTTCCTGATTTAATTATCCAGAAAAATACAGAATGTTTCTTTTCAACTGCTAGACTTTTTCCTGCTTTAATTATCCAGAAAAATACAGAAATGATACTTTTGTCCCTAGAGAGAAATAAGTTTTCTTTTCAACTGGTTGAGAAAAGTCTAACGACAAGGAAATAATGTATGATATTTACCAGAATGCAGGCCCTAAAAGCGAAGCTCAAGTTCGTAAGAATATTTGCTGCAATATTCTCAATATGACATGGTAACACTGAAGATCCTTCACTGAAACCAGATGCTTTTCTCCCAATGTTCTTGCGAGTATACCACACCAGGCAAACTGCAGCGCTGATTATAATATCAACAGGCAGGGTTGTATCACGCTCAATTACTTGAATTCCTTCTTTCTCCATAGCCAAAATCTTTTGATATGTACTTCTTCTGGACACCAACATTACTTCACTTGAGTTTTGTGTGTTCACAATAATGACCGAGTCAGGAAAAGAAACAATCCCTAGCTCGATATGGCCCGATCCTACTACAGGTGGCTCACAAGATGCATTTCCTGCCCCTGGGCTACTAGTCGAAACCTTGCAAGTAATATCACCAGGAATCTTGACTGCATGTATATCGTTCATTCCACTGGGAATCTTGCCTGCAGGTACACTATTTTCTTCAGCTCTATCTTTTGAAGGATTCAAGAAGAACTCCAGGTCATGAAATGGTGACATAGATTTGAATAGTGAAGAAGCCCTCTCAGAATCATACTCGGAAACTAGTCTTTGACTTGCTGGCTTTTGGTATTCAGTATCAGTAGACGTCCTGGAAGCAGCCTCAGTCAGTCCCTCCCTCAGCAAAGAGACTCCGTCAGAAAGCATGTCCAATGGCCCACTGCCTTCTTCGGATTTAGGCCTGCTAGGAGTGTGATCAAGAAGGATGAAGTCAAGAACGACTTTCCCATAATTGGCAGTATTTAAATCGAAGTCAACACTCCTGTTCAGCTCCGCTACCACATTGTGATAAAAGGAATAGATTGCAGAGCTGCAGTTGTCTTCCTCCAATAGATGCCAATTTAAATAGATCCCATCAGATGCCAATGGAGGCTGTGGCTTCAAATCAATCAGTGCTTCTGCAACAATTGCATACAAAGTTCCTAATACAGAGTCGGGGAGAACTGGCACGGGCAGTGATTTGAACATCTCATCAACAAGAGCAAGTTCCCGACTGATTACCAATTCCTCAAAATTCTTGAACTTCACCTTTTCCTGCAGCATCTCATTGCAGAACTCAGGTTCATGGACTTCTTGTAAGCTGAAGACCTCACAAAATACAGCTGTCCCCATGTCAAGTATCTGAAAGTCCTCAAGGACAACTGGGCTAATTGACGATATATAATCTCTGTCTGATGGTCCTTGACAAGGTGAGTTGCCTCGTAGATAAGGTCTGTCCACAATGCTCACAAAATCCATTTCCAGAAAAGTGGCCCCTATTACCGAGTCTGATTCAAGGCAGTCCTTAGACAGACAATGGTGTGAAGGAAATTCCAAAAGGTCCTTCTCGAGCAAGTTCAAAATTTCTTTGGTGTCAAATGAAAAATTATCATTTTGACTAAGATATAGTGATTCAACTTTGTCAAGAAGCTTTACAAGCTCATATTTCACGGATGTGCTCTTCAAAACTTCCAAACTAATCTCCTCCACTTCTAAAAGAGGAAATTGGGTACATGGGAAGTCCGACAGGCCTGCAACATAAGCATCATCTTCCCAAAAGACAGCCTTTGGCTCTATGAGATACTGTATACTTGTGTCTCCAAATTTAGAAACCACTTCTTGAGCCTCCAAAGTATAGTTCACTGAAAAGCCCAGCTTGGGTGCATCCTGTCGGTAAAACTATAGTGATAAGTACCTATTTTGTGTGAAACTTTGTCATCAAGATCCATTTGCTAGCAAACCACCAAATGCCTTACTGTCTTGGACCAAAATCTTGTTTAAATCTGACGACTGTTTGGTGAGACAATAGAAAGCAACCAGCGGTCATGGTGTTGTGGCTGCCAATAGCAAATTTCTAAATACAGACTTGGATGATAGTTGTGACTTTGCCTTCTTGCAGACAATCAAATGCCCAATCATCAATAAAGGGATGGACTATGATCATTTGGGAGGGTCTAACATTCATAAACTGGTTCAATGTTTTTCATGTAGAAAGAGAAACATGTTGCAATATGTAACCACAAGGTGTCACTCATCAAAGATTGATTCAAAATGGATTTCCTTCATTAATCAGACTTGCCACTTTTCTCCAGTTTTCTTAAATTATCTACCTGTCAAAACTAATGCTTGCAGTTTGAAGAACAAAGTTCAGCTTAAATGCACCAAAGTTCCAGAGGAACAATAAAATGGAATGATCTTACGAATTAAGTTGAGCGCGGGATTTACCTCATTGTTTTCAATTTCAAGAACTTCAGAGAAGATGCCTACTGCTTCTTCCTCAAGTAAATGAGCATTCTCCTGAGGATGACAATGAACAAACATAGGACTGTGGCATCACACTTCCGGCATATTCACTGCAATTTTCTAATGATATTCAGCATACCGAGCAATTAGCCAGCTCCGGTGTCTCAAGCTGGAATACTGCAATGCCTTGTGTGCCCTTTTCATTGATGAAACTTTCGCTAATCTGATGGTTGCAGTAACATAGCATCAGGAGCACAAACATAAGCTTTTCTAGAGTTTTGAAAAGATAAGAAACAAAAAATTCCTCAGGCATCGGTTCATACTTTGGGAAATTCATCTTCCGTAGCTGCAGTCTTAATAGTTGAACAGTAGTCCAACCTTTCCTTCACTTCAGGACTTAGCTCTCCTTCTTTCTGCAAGTGAGCATGAACAATCCGCTTGATGGAACTCGACTAGGCAATACTGACTACCAACAACTCTGCTAATTTGCATGCCAAAAGAAGATACAACAAAAGGTGCCAGCGCGACGAAGCTTTTCCTCGCCCATCATAATTTCCAAATTTTCATTTTCCAACCAAAACGAGAAGGAACGTTGAACGAGGGAGTACCAAAACCAACTGACAGAAGTACAAATGACATGTCAATTTGAATGAAACCGACAAGTCAAGCTACTACGCCTCATGGAGGATGAACTGTCTTCATGGTTACATAAGTTCAGAGCTAATCCTGGCACAAAATCTAAACAGACAGTGCTTTAGAGGGCAGGATCGCACCAAGTTCAAACTGAAATCAACAGGTTAAAGCGCGAGCTCGATCTTCAGTTTCTCTTCCCAACCAATCACACGTCATACTCAAACTCCTATCAGATCGCTCAACACTACCAGCTTCACTCTCACACAACTAACCAAAACTGGCGAAGCATCACGAGCGAGATCACCGATTACTTCAAGCATAAAACCCCGGCCGAAAAGTCACACATACCTCGATGCTTCCATTTCCGCAACCTTCGCCGCCTCCGGCGTCGACGAACCGAGGAACGACGTCGGTCAGGAACCTCGAGAGAGCGGGTCCGATCTCTAGCCTGCCGAGCTCGAGGGAGGCTTCGATCGTGGAGAGGGAGCCGAAGCAGAGGAGGCCCTGCCCCGAGGCGAGAGGTGGAGCCGAAGGGAGGCGAGGGACCGGAAGGTCCAAGAAGGCTAGGGTTTGGGCCGGAGAAGATGGCGGAGGAGGAGGAGGAGGTCCGACGCTGAAGTAGTCGATGTTGAGGAAGCGAGTTCGCATCTCGTTCAACGGATGGTTCTGGAGAGATTTTTGAATTTGGCGCTTCTGTTTTTGAGGTGGGGGGAATTTATATAGGGGAAGGCGAGCGCGAGTTGGCCGAGTTGCAACGGTGAGTCCAGCTGAGTGGCTCAACGGGTTGCTGGGGGCGATTCATAGCTACCTCTTACTTTTATATTAAACTTTCCCTTCGATGAAAAAGTAATAAACATTATGCGACTTTACAAGTCATTTTCTAAAATATTTTAAAAGGTTTCGAGTGCTTCAAATTAAATAAAAGAGAAAACATGAGTTTTGCAAGATTAAAGAAACAAAGAGTTAAAAGTACAAGTTATTTCAGGTTAATTTGGGTAATTAAACAAAAAATCTTAAACGGTCAATTTAATTTTAAAATTTTCAATTTTACCAATTTAGTTTTAAAACATTTTAATAATTTGTCAATATAATCCTTCCGATCAATTTTGACCGAAAAATTCTTAACTTGGCCATTCAGTTAGCATTAGTTGTCTTACGTGACATGGCCATACAGCAGGCATTGACATGGTTGATTTTTTTAAATTTTTTTTTTTTTTTCTTTTCTTTCTTTTCTTATTCTTTTTTTTTCTTTCCTTCGGATTTTCGGTCAATAGGGATCGATGATCCTCACTAGCCACAAGCGAGGGCGTCGAATCCTCCCCAAATCCAAGCAAGGGCCACAACCCTTCCCTATTGGCCAGCAAGGGCATGGAGGCCCTCACCTGTGGGCGGCAAGGGCATTGTCGGTTGGCATTGGGGCCCCACCGACCGGAGATTAAATGAAGGAAAAAAGAAAAAATAAATCAAAAAAGGGAGAAAAAGAGAAATTTCGGAAAAGTATGCAAAAATTATCTATGTCAGTTCTAGCCGTGCCACTTAAGACGTTTGGCATCCATATTAACAATTTCTGGCCAAAATTGATCAAAGTAACTACATTGGTAAATCTTCAAAATATTTAGGATTAAATTGACAAAATTAAAAAATTTATGATTGAATTAGCTACCGTCCAATAAGTTTACGACTTTTTTGGTAATTTTCTCGATAAATTTCACACATATCAATTTGCAACTTCTACTTTCAAAAACTCCGAGTTCACCTAGAGTGCTGGTACCAACATTCGAATACGAGTACATGACCAAATTACTACCTTTTTTTTCTGAAAATGTTTTTACCACTTCTCTTTTCTCATTTGGCATCTTAACTTTTGAGTCTTGTTCATTGAAAGTGGATTTGCTCTCTTGGGCTAGTTTGGCATGCAAATTTTTTTTATAGGGCACGCAAATTTAGAAGTTTCAAAATTCAGACATGCAGAGTGATAAACCGACGAAATTCGAGGATATTTGGAATTTCCCGAAAGAAATGATGTCACACAATTTAAGTTCGAACAATAGTAGAAGTAAGTTATTCAATACCTTAATTTAATACATGTCATTCATCTAACTTCCATTTAAGTTGTAGTAGCAACGAGGACCTCACTATGATCTGAAATTCTTATCTTGCATGAGCATATCATAAGAAGAAAACAAAAGAGAGAAAGCAAAAATATATTGTGATATGCAATTGACCAAATGAGGATCACTCTTTTCATTTTCACTTATTCTCCACAACTTTTTGCTCTGCTTTATTCTCCACTTTGGGGGGCTCTTCCTTCTTGTCCTCTTTCTTCTCCTCCTTTTTCTCCTCCTTCTTCTCCTCCACAGCTGGTCCTACCGATATGAGGTCCACCTTCCCCACCTTCTTCAGCTTCTTCACCACCGCTACCGTGTCCATCTGCCCTATCACAGTCAGCTTCTGGTCCGTCAGATCAGCCGCTATCGAGTCCACCCCTTTTCTCATAACGCATAACGAAAAACACCCATCAAGCCACATGAAAATCATTATATGACTAAATGACAACTTAATTAGCCCAGGATAACAGCAACAGCAGCCGATTCACGTAATATTAAGTACTTGCATGAGAGGATAGCGTGAAAATAAACAGATTATGCTATTCATCTAGATGACACTCGATGGATGAAGGGTGCCAATTCCAACATTGGAAAGGGAAAATACCGAAGATATCGGCAGCGGCTTCAATGGCCTTTTGCTTTGTTTTGTCATCGGCCATCGTCAACACCTTCAGTATCACCTTCTGCAGCAATGAATTCAGAACAGCAAGGAAAGATGAAGTTCAAAACAGTTGAATATCAAACGTTTCAAGATGCAGTTTCATAAGAGAACGAGATCATGCAAATGAGCTGACGAGAAAGTCAAGTGGATGGAGAGAATATACGAAGTTGGAATGACCTGAGCCATGGGGAACGAAGAAGCTTAGAGAGAGGGAACTCCGAAGGTGGGGAGGTAGAGTGATGGATGAGGTGGGGGGAGATTATATGGGCATTATTCGAGCATTTTATCTTGGGCTAGAGACGTGCGCAAAGTCCAAATTGAGGTCGGTCGATCTTCTAAATTACGTTCCTGTCAAGCAAGGAATATAAGGCAAAAAGTGAGCAGGTCACATCATTCCTTTTCCTTGGACATGAAATTCCCAAAAAGTGAGCAGGTCACATCATCCCTTGTTCAGGTGATTTCTCAATTAAAAAGAGGGAGCAATAGCCCAAGAAACGAACCATCGGGCGCTCGCACACGCGTGTATGTATATTGAATATCGTCTGGAGATATCACTCGAATGCGGCTCGTTTTCACTCTTTGAGCGAGTGTGTCCTCATGTTCCGCACAACTTTCGGGGAGGTATTCCGTGGTCATAACTAGGGACATCGATAGTATGGACCACTAAGGTTTCAATACGATTCCGAAACAATCGAAACAGAAGTCTATGATTTGTGATGAGCTACAACTTCCACTAGTTTTTGTATCTTATTAGGCTTCAATTGTTTCGTAGAAAATAAATGACTTGAAAGACATATTCCTGATTGATTATGTCGATCAAAATAATTAGTTAATGAAAAATATTTTTATTATCGATAATAATTTATGTCTAAATATTTTCATGGACGATGAACATATTTTTCGTTGATTAGTTTTTTTTGACAATATAAACGATTATTTTTTAAAAATATTTATTAAATTATTCATTTTTCGTGAAATAAACTCATCTTTTAGTTGACTTGGAAAGTATGCAGATGGCCATGTTCATATTGCGGCTCGAATCCTTCTTGTCTCGTCTTCAGTTCAAGACTCCAAACACTAGTAATTTGACCAACAAACTCAGTCCGGTCATTGGAAACAACCGGTCAAAAGAAGAAGATCAATGCCAAAGGCACTAATGAGTTGACTGGCACTATGAGGAATTTAGATTTCACAGAAAGCAAGGGTTCAAGCGCCAAAGAAACGGTATGGGTCATGCATGAGTATACTAAAGCGACTGCAATTCGGGGCCAACTTTCTTGACCAAGGTAACCAAGATTACATCATTCTCTTTTTCAACTGAAAGTTGAACAGTGAAATGCTCATAATGCTCACTTCCATGGCTTATGATGGTACTTCATAAAATCAGGTAATGAGCTTGTGTTGTTTTGATGCCGGGATTGTGTGGGAAATGAATGGCTTTCTAGTTCAGATTCTTGTTTGCCCACCCGTTTGAATTTATGCTTCACAAGCTCTTGGAGTTGAAAAGATAGGAAGATTTGGTGCTTGAATGATGGCCTTTAAGCTAGAATGGGTCATTGTTCGCTTACCACTGCTGTCTGTTTTCTATTTGTTTCGATTCTTCACGACATTCTCTGCCCACCTTTGTCCATCTTCTGCTTCACAAATTCGCCGATGTGTGCCGGAATGTCTATGCATTCTTAGCATGTGATCTCTGTAATTCAGCTAACATTTCTATTGTCTCTTGGAGTGTTTAGCAGATACTTGTGCTTTGCCACCTTATAAAACGAGATGAGTTCTATAGATGATTTAACCTCCTGTCAAGAGGAAACAGAAAGTTTGGCCTAAACAAAAGATAGGAAACACAGAGATTGAGCCATTGCCATTGGTGCACTTCCTCAAAGCAAGCTCCCTGTCGCGTGATGCTTTTTTTATTTTTATCAGAACCTCCTGAAATCCAATACGTGCTTTCTTTGTTTTGATAGTTGATAGATCACACCTCGTGACCTCTCTTTTTAGTTCCAGAACATTGTGCCTTTGGATGACGCTTTGGGCAACCTTTCCAAACATCCGCACATTCTGATTGTCCCTAGTAAAAGACTTCTTGTGATATATCGAGTCGAGCATTGGATGGGAGAAAGCCTTTTGAGTGATTATAGATCGACACCCACCCCTAAATGATTATCACCGTGTGCGTTTACTCAAAGTTTTCCTTTTGGGGCTTTGGCCACGTGGAACGGGCTGGATCATTATATTTCTATTGATATTCCTAGACTCGATCATTTTTAATATTTTCTCCAACATGTCCGTAACACAAGAAAGGTGTCTTCCTTGCCGTTTATTAAGAGTTCTCGCGCACTGCGCAGGACAAAGTTGAAAACCTCATAGCATACTAATTACAATAAATTAATGAGCAAACTTCTGGAAGGGAAGAGATTGGTAAATGGAAGTGATCACACCAGCACAAGAAGTTTCATACATCCAAAATGAAGAATCAAAGGCAAGGAACGACACGGGATTGCTCATTACTTAAGCAGTTCTTGACTGTCTCAGTCTCTTCAACTCGGCTACCTTCACTGCTATAGCCACATATGCCTTGTCTATTGCTTGGTCCACAAAGTTGAAATATGCACGTCTCCAATCCTTCTTGAACTGCAATATTCCGAAAAAGCCCCAAAACCCAGTCGCAAATCCAAGCATTACAACCACGCAGAACAATGCCTTATCCTCGTCATGTATAACTTCAGGTTGAGAGATTTTCAGTGCTTGAGGCGCCTCAGCATCAGGACATTTTCTTCTCAGAAGATCGCCGCAGAGTAGAGGATTGCCGGCATAAATGGAAGGATCGATGAGGGTCTGGATTTGATAGCCCTTCGGAATCTGCCCCGTGAAGTTGTTGCACGACAGGTTGAGGTGGGCTAGGTATGTTAATGCTGAAATGCCCTGCAGAATTGTTCCTGAGAGGCGACTGTTGGAAAGATCAAGTGACTCGAGTGACTTCATGTCCCCGATGCCAATGGGAATGCCTCCAGAGAGAAGGTTGTGTGACAAGTTCAAACCTTGCAATCCTGCGAGGAAAGTAAATTCTTCGCGGATCAGCCCTATCAAGTTGTTGCTCGAGAGATCCAAATTGCTCACAAGTCTTAGAACAATTTTGGTATATTCATTATAACTTCCCTTCATGATCTCAGCCACATGCTCTCGATTCCAATCTAGATAAGGTAGATTGTCTTGAATGAAGAATTTCAGGCCACCCATATAGCCGAGACAATGCAAGATCGTTCCCATCAATTTGTTCGCTGCCATATCCAATATTTGCAATCCTGAGAGTGAACAAAGCTGCAGAGGGATGCTACTAGTAAAACTATTCTCTCGTAGCCTCAGAATCTGCAAATACCGAAAGTTTTCGTTGAACCATGTCGGAATGGTTCCGGAGAAGTTATTCTCCCCAAGGTCCAAAATAATCAAGTTTGTGCAATTTCCCAAAGCCAGTGGAAGCTCCCCATTGAGATGGTTCCCATTCAAGTGTAGGGTTGAAAGTCCCTGTAAGGATCCCATTGAGCTTGGAATTACTCCGGACAACTTATTAAATGACAAAGTCAAGCGAGACAAACTTGAACCCTTCCAGCAGTTGGGAAACTGCCGGATAGCAAATTGTTGCCAAGACCTAAATCATACAAACCCTCTTCACATAAGGATAACGGTAACGTGCCATTGATATGGTTATCATTGAGATACAAGGTCTCCAGGTGCATCTCGCCAATATTGGTTGGAAGAGGTCCGGAGATAAAGTTGTGGAAGAGATCTAAAATGGAACAGTGAGAAGATATGTTGGGGAAGGGTCCGGTAATATGATTGTACAAGAGACTGAACCGGCTATATGTCATGTTTAATAACCATTTAGGCAAAGCCCCCAAGATTGAAGCATTTGAGAGATCTATGCCATTGACGTCCACTTGTGTCTGCATCCATTCGGGAAATGTGGATCTGAATTTACAGGAATTCATCCGTGTGGTATCCAGCCATGTTCCGCCTTAAAAGCCAGGTTCTTGTTGTCACCAATGTCCAAATCCTTTAGCCTCGACAGATTAGAAAAATGGATTTCCGAAATCACTCCTCCCAAAGAATTGTTGATGAAAGACATAATGGGTGGACCGCCCAAGATGGGCCAAACCCGGCCCGTGAGCCACAAGGGCCCACGAGGTAGGTATTTGCCTATCTATAATAGAAGGCACCCCTTGGAAAACAGATGTGATTTTCATATGTAAACACACTCCTTCGAATACGTTGTCTTCTCTGTTTTTCTTTTGGAACGCACACAAATACGAGCGACGATCGGGGATTGAGATTTTCCTAACATTGGTATCAGAGCACGTTTACTTGTTTCCCGATCATGCATGTGTACCGTCTCTACCATTGAAGTGTATACTGCTTATTTTTTCGTTTCAGCCTTATTTTTGTTCGTTTTCGTCGCGTCGCCGAACTGTTCATGCATGTTTCGATTTTTTTTTTCGTCAAAACTTGAATTTTATTATATAAACAGAAAGGGCTTGTCGAGACGAGCAAAATGATGGGCGGTGCGTCGCCGGAGGACGCCGCACGCGCCCTCACGCGCCGGCAAAGGCCGTGCGCGCGACGGCGCGTGAGTCCCACGCGCGGCCGTGCGAAACGGCGCGTCGGTTGCCGCCTAACCGCCGATGATGACGTCATCGTGATGTCATCAGGAGCCAACCGTTGACCCGACCCGAGACCCGATTGACCGTTGACCCGACCCGATTGATCGGTGACCCAACCCGTTGACTTGACCCGACTAGGTTGACTATTGACCCGACCCGTTGACCATTGACCGAACCGGTTGACCGTTGACCGGTCAACTGTCGGACCGGTCAAACCGGTCGAACCGGACCGGTTCAAACCGGGCAGAATGAGCCCGTTATTTCTTTTGGCCTGTTCGAGCTCATTTGAACTCCGATTTGGGCGTTCTTGGTATCGACGTGCTCGTATCGGAATGATCTACATTATGATATATTCATATTACATTTTTGCTGCACTTATGAATGTGAAAATGCACGATAAACCCTATGTACACGTACTTAGGGGTATATTCTTTGGTATTTTCTCTAGTATTTCTCTATAATTTTTTGAAATACAAGTGCTAGATCATATGTATATGAATAAGCATTCCCTATCTTAATGTATCATGGATTATAAGTAATCCTTCGTTCTGCATTCGTTGCAGGAACAATGGTACATTTGAGACGCACTCCGATAATCCCAAGAACGGCAGCTCAAAAGGAGAAGCTTGAGAACCTAAGAGTCAAGCTAGCTCTTTATCGAT